ATTTCACCATGTTGGTAAGGCTGGTCTCGAACTCCTGACCTCAAGTGATCCACCTGCCCTGGCCTCCCAAAGTGCTGTGATTACAGGCATGAACCACTGTGTCTGGCCCAGACAATATCTTTCATATGAATTCAGATTCCACATTGCAATTAAACTTTAAGAAACTACCAAGTTGAGTTTTTGTGTATTATCAAAGATTATCCGTAACTACGTGAAAAGTCTTTTAAAATACTTTATTTAAGCTACATGTCTCTGTGAAACTGAATTTTCTTTATATACTTCAACCAAAATAATATCACAACAGATTGAATGCAGAAGCAGATGTAGGAAGTAAATTGTTATTTATTAAGCAAGCCACTAAAGGGATTTGCAAAAAATGTCAAAAAATTTCATTGTTATCACTAGAATTTTTTGTTTGTTTTGGAAAAACAAATCAGATGTGGGCAGCTATGTTTGGCTCATGTATGTACAAGTGAAGAGAGGGTGCTAGTATTTTGAGAGTGAGAGAGAAGAGAGAGAAGTGCAGAGAGAAGCAGAGAGGAGAGAACATGTGGAGAGAGAGAGAAAAAAAATAGGCTTTGGTTCCTAGTTTTTGTACCTGGTTCTTGTCTCTCTTGAGGCCTGGCTGTGTTGCCCAATTTAGAGTTCTAGGAGATTTCCATGTATTTTTCCAATAAACTCTCTTATTTAAAAGGGATATAAATCTATATATTTTTTATTTTTTAAATTAAAAAGAATTTTGTTTTGAGACAGAGTCGTTCTGTCATTCAGGCTGGAGTGCAATGGCTTGATCTTGGCGCACTGCAACCTCCGCCTCCTGGGTTCAAGTGATTCTCCTGCCTCAGCCTCCTGAGTAGCTGGGATCACAGTCATGTGCCATCAAGCCCGGCTAATTTTTGTATTTTTAGGAGAGAAAGGGTTTCACCATGTTGGCCATGCTGGTCTTGAACTCCTGACCTCAAGTGATCTACCCACCTCAGCCTCTCAAAGTGCTGAGATTACAGGTGTGAGTCACTGCAGCTGGCCTCTTTTCTTCCCTGTTTGGCTTGCTGTTCCTGAAGGGTAGAGACTCTTGATTACTTCAGACCTCACCATGCCTAGTCCCTACTCAATCTTCAGTAGCTGAAGAGTGAGTGAGTAGCTCTGCCCGAGGGAGCCGAGGAAGGCATCCTGGAGGATGAGTAGGCATTTGTCAGGCAGATGACAGGAAAACAAGCTTGTGTGAGTTCAGGAGCCTGCTTAGCCCTTGTGGGTGTGGTCATGTTTAAGGACAAAGGAGGCATGATTAATGCAGGCGCATTCACTTTTGCCCTGGGGATCAAGTAGAGAGAATATCTCTCAAACGAATGCCAAGGCCACTTCTCTGAGTCTTTGGGTTAATGCCAGCCCTATTAGGGACTATCCAGTGAATTAAAAAAGGCCCTGCAAACTCCAGGCCAGGGTTGGGAAGGAGTGTTAGTAGCACCTGGGGGACTGGGGATGACTCATCTCACAGATATCATTAACCCCCATTCATTCACTCCTTAATGGAGAAACAGGAGCAGGAATTTTGCAGAGGGACAGTTCTAGACTGAAGTCCATCTCTGACTGACTGGCTGAGTGACCTTAAACAGGCATCTAACTTTTTTAAGCCTCCATTTCTTTACCATTTCTGTAAAATGGTAATCATAACACCTTGGAGGCTGGTTATAAGAGTTAAATATGATCATATACATTAAGCATCTTATATAGTAACTGGTACAGCTTAGAGATGAATGTATGCTAATTCCCTTCTTTCTTTTCTACAAACATAGGAGCTACTGACTACAAGGCATTATGCCAGGAAGGGAGGAAACAAAGGTGAATCCATTGTACACAGATTGTGTCCTCTGGGAGACTGAAGCCCCCGTATTGGAGGAGAGAAAGTAAATGGTAAGTGCACAGGTAGTTACAACACAAGACAGAGAGTGTGAGGTGCCATGAGAGAGGTGGAACCAAGATTGCAGCGGGAAGGCCATGTCTATGCCCATGTGTCTGTGTGTGAACTGACCTTCATGGTTGGCAATGCCCCTTACTGGATTAAAGCATGTTCTGTTTTGCTTGTTATGTGTTGGTGTCTCTAATTTGGGTGTTAAAAGAAAAAAGAACACAAAGGACTTTTTGCTTCTATGAGGAAGGGATAGTCTATCAAAATTAGCCAACACCATCCCTGACCTAGGGATGAGGACACACCTGGCTCCCCCGATCTTTGTGGGAGAGTCAAAGCCTCTTGGGGACCCATCAGGTCCAGGTGCAGCAGTAGCTGGCTCTTTGAATCAGCAACATTAATCTGCTTTGTTTTATCTGCAGTGTCACAAAGTTTAGTTGAATGATCTGATAGAAAGTACAAACCAGCTGGGCACGGTGGCTCATGCCTGTAATCCTAGCACTTTGGGAGGCTGAGGTGGGAAGATTGCCTGAGCTCAGGAGTTTGAGACCAGCTGGACAACACGGTGAAACCCCGTCTCTACTAAAATACAAAAGAAATTAGCTGAGTGTGGTGATGCGCGCCTGTAGTCCCAGCTACTCGGGAGGCTGAGGCAGGAGAATTGCTTGAACCCAGGAGGCAGAGGTTGCAGTGAGCTGAGATGGTGTCACTGCACTCCACCTGGGTGACAGAGCGATACTCTGTCTCTAAAAAAAAAAAAAGTCCAAACTACAGTCTGAGTCTGAGAATAATTGGGAGGAATCCCCTGCTATCACAGACTGGGAATCAGAGCGGCACATCCTGCACTTGCAGGGCCCTGAGGCTCTAAAAGCACCATGTTCCCAGTTGGAAGCATATATTCTGCAAGGGTTTGTCTCCAGGCAGCGCTACAGCCTCCTCTTCTGGCACCACGGAGACTGTTGTTTCTGTCAGGATTTCTGGCACCATCAGAGGTGAAAAGGAACAGGACCAGCTACGCCTCCTTGAGCAGGGTGGGTCTTCTGGGCAGCACCTTGGTGAGAATACACACCACTGAGCAGCCCAGGCTGGTGCTGATTAGGTGAAGGGTGGGCGGCCAGAAGGACAGATTCTTGTGTGTGTGTGTGTGAGAGAGAGAGAGAGAGAGAGAGAGAGAAGCATAACTCAATGCTTCATCTCCCCTGCCTACATTACGTTCACACTTTGTGAATCTGACAACCTGTGGGTTTGGGCTGGATTTGCAGCTTTATTAGGCATTGCAGCAACTGAACAGGCTTTTCTTCTTCCTTTTTTTGAAACTCCAGTTTCCCCTAGCTAGCGTTAAGATTCTCAGGCTTTTCTTTTCATAGCCCCCCCTCCCCTTTTTAAAAGTTGTGAAATATGGTAGAGTGACAAGATTAGAGAATAAATGTAGAGAATGTAGCAGAATGAAAGGAATACCCTGGTGACCATCACTCCGGTCAAGAACACACTATCTGTAGCTCCCAGAACAATCCCTCCTCCATACGCCCCTTCCCAGTGTCGTCATCCTTCTCCATCCCGATTTTACTTTTTTTTCCCATTTAAAGATATTTATGTATATATTTTTGACTTTTTTTTTTTCGAGTGGAGCTTCGCTCTTTTTGCCCAGGCTGGAGTGCAATGGCATGATTTCAGCTCACTGCAATCTCCGCCTCTTGGGTTCAAGTGATTCTCCTGCCTCAGCCTCCTGAGTAGAGTAGCTGGGATTACAGGCACGTACCACCATGTCCACCTAATTAAATATTTTTAGTAGAGACAGGGTTTCACCATGTTGGCCAGACTGGTCTTGAACTCCTGACCTCGGGTGATTCACCCACCTCAGCCTCCCAAAGTGCTGGGATTATAGGCATGAGCCACCACATCTGGCCTTGAATTTTTTTATACAGTTAAAATGCATGGCCATTTTTGAGAAGAAATACACAAAATACAGACTGTCGATGAAAAGTATATCACCCATGATTTTTCCTCACCCAGGGTCATGTTAACATTTTGTGGAATATCCTACAACACATTTAAATGTTGTATGTTTATGCTTTCTATAATTAAAAATGGACCACATGAGAAATTTTTTCAATACTATTTGGTGAAAATATTTGCATTTCCATATAGCTCTGTTGCAAGGTATTTGGTGAGATCCAAATCCCGGGTGTGCTGCTAGAAACCATTTTTATAAATAATGTTGTGATGAACAGGTTTGTGTATATCTTGAAGTACTCGACTGATAATTTCCTTAAGATCAAAAGGAAATTCCTGGATCAACCAGCATGCATTTTTATGAGACATTTAATTTACATTGCCAAATTGCTAGATGAGTGCATTTTATAAATTTCAAAACACAGCTAAATTAGAGTGTTTCTTTGTGAATAATTAGGTAGCAAAGGTAATGGAAATGATGAAGCAATCCACCCTCCCACTAGAACTGTGCGAGAATGCCTCTTTTCCTACATGTTTGTTAACATTGGATATTATTTTTCTTCGTGGAAAGTCTTTAGTTTCTTCTGAAGGCATGAAGCCCTTATTGTCCCTGATTTTAATATAATTGTTTCTTTGCATCTCTTTTATGCTTTTGCTGCTTAACTATTCACCTAGAAACACTATAGTCTTTCTGTCAGTGTGTTTTGAAATTTATATAAATGAGATTATATAGCATTATTTTATCCCTGGCTTCTTTCATCCATTATTATGCCTGTTAAATATACCCGTGTGGTCATATGGAGCTGTGTCATGTCCATTTTCAGGGATATATATTATTCCATTGTTAGAACACCCAGCAGTGTATTCATTCTATTGTTGTTGGACATTTTAGCTGTTTCTAGCTTTTGACTCCTATCAAGAATGCTGCTAAGAACCTTCTTACAGAGGTCTCCTATGCACAAGCTGTTTTTAAAAGGAAAGCTGTGATTCCACTTTATGTCACCGGGAACTGGAGCCTTTGGCAACAGTGAGATGCAGGGATCTGTGTACTCAGAATGCTGCTCTAGCCCATTTCTTGCCTGCCACAGCATATGTGATTGGGGCCAGAGGTCATTCTTTTTAAAATTCTCCCTAAAAATCAAGGCAGAAAGAAGCAAGAACTTTCTGGGCAAGATAAAGGGGACAGCTTGAAAGGGTACTGAACGGGAGATCAAAGAGCCCTTCATGCTGCTGGCTTTTGATGTTAGCATGAACTACACACACTGCGGTCATTAATTAACTCGTGTTCAGAGCTTGCTGCATTCCCCCACCTACTGTCTCCTAATCAACAACCCTCCACTCAAGGCCGACATCATCATTATCAAGTTCTGGGACTTGGAGTGAGGGTGCCTTTGGCTGCTGTGGGCACTCAGTGCTGCTGGAACAGCCCTGGGGAAGAGCTTTGAAGCACACTTACAGAGGCTGTAAAATCAGAGAAAGTTGGGACTGGAAGTCCTGCCTACTGGATCATTGTAGACAGACTCCATGGCTGTTTACAGCCTTGTTGGAGAAAGTGGAGTTTCAATGAAAAATAAGTGGTGCTTGTTTTCATTCCATGTAGTTGGTAATCAGGGCATGTTCAGGGAAGAATCCCTGTTCTTCTCCTATTCATACTCCCCTTT